ACCATGAGAAACAAGATTCTCTGGTCTGATGAAACCAAGATTGAACTCTTTGGCCTGAATGCCAAGCGTCACATCTGAAGGAAACCTGGCACCATCCCTACGGTGAAGCATGGTGGTGGCAGCATCATGATGTGGGGATGTTTTTCAGTGCCAGGGACTGGGAGACTAGTCAGGATTGAGGGAAAGATGAATGGAGCAAAGTACAGAGAGATCCTTGATGAAAACCTGCTCCAGAGCGCTCAGGACCTCAGACTGGGGTGAAGGTTCATCTTCCAACAGGACAACGACCCTAAGCACACAGCCAAGACAACACCGGAGTGGCTTCGGGACAAGTCTCTGAATGTCTTTGAGTGGCCCAGCCAGAGCCTGGACTTGAACCCGATTGAACATCTCTGGAGAGACCTGAAAATAGCTGTGCAGCGATGCTCCCCATCCAACCTGGCTCTGCAGAGAAGAATGGGAGAAACTCTCCAAATACAGGTGTGCCAAGCTTGTAGCGTCATACCCAAGAAGACTTGAGGCTGTAATCGCTGCCAAAGGTGCTTCAACAAAGTCTGAATACTTATGTAAATGTAATATTTTTAATACATTTGCTAAAATTTCTAAAGAACTGTTTTTGCTTTGTCATTATGGGGTATTGTGTGTAGATTGATGAGGGAAAAAAACAATTTAATAAATTTTAGACTAAGGCTGTAACGTAACAAAATGTGGAAAAAGTAACGCCAGGGTAGTGGTTTCGATCCCCGGGACCACCCATACGTAAAAATGTATGCACACATGACTGTAAGTCACTTTGGATAAAAGCGTCTGCTAAATGACTTATTATTATTATTATTATTATGCCTAAAATATCAAATTAAAATATGTTTTGTGAATTTAGTATATTTCCATCCAAATATCAGTTTCAAATCACAAAATATTTATATTACCCCTAATTTTTACCGTTGACGACTGTTACATTTAACCCTGTAGCCTGTTACAGTAAACCCCGCCTACGGTAGCTAGAGCCCCGCCTACGGTAGCTAGAGCCCCGCCTACGGTAGCTAGAGCCCCGCCTACGGTAGCTAGAGCCTACGGGGTTCATTGTAACATTTCACCTCCGCCACTTTCGGTTTGAATTGTAAACAACTGGTATGGTAATGGTAGCTGAGACATATACACTATATATACAACTGGTATGTCCTAGGAACTGAGTTACAGTGTGTAATGGTAGCTGAGACATATACACTATATATACAACTGGTATGTCCTAGGAACTGAGTTACAGTGTGTAATGGTAGCTGAGACATATACACTATATATACAACTGGTATGTCCTAGGAACTGAGTTACAGTGTGTAATGGTAGCTGAGACATATACACTATATATACAAAAGTATGAGGACATCCCTTCAAATGAGTGGTTTTAGCTAGTTCAGCCACACCCGTTGCTGACAGGTGTATAAAACCGAGCACACAGCCATGCAATCTCCATAGACAATAATTGGCAGTAGACAATAATTGGCAGTAGAACGGCCTTACTGAAGAGCTCAGTGACTTTCAACGTGGCACCGTCATAGGATGCCACCTTTCCAACAAGTCAGTTCGTCAAATTTTTGCCCTGCTAGAGCTGCCTCGGTCAACTGTAAGTGCTGTTATTGTGAAGTGGAAACGTCTAGGAGCCATTGGACTCTGGAGCAGTGATGAATCACGCTTCACCATCTAGCAGTCCGACGGACAAATCTGGGTTTGGCTGATGCCAGGAGAGCGCTACCTGCCCCAATGCATAGTGCCAACTGTAACGTTTGGTGGAGGAGGAATAATAGTCTGGTGCTGTTTTTCATGGTTCGGGCTAGGCCCCTTATTTCTAGTGAAGGGAAATCTAAACGATACAGCACACAATGACATTCTAGACATTTCTGTGCTTCCAACTTTGTGGCAACAGTTTGGGGAAGGCCAATTCCTGTTTCAGCATGAAACCTGTGCACAAAGTGAGGTCCATACAGAAATGGTTTGTTGAGATTGGTGTGGAAGAACTTGACTGGCCTGCACAGAGCCCTGACCTGAACCCCTTCGAACACCTTTGGGATGAATTGGAATGCCGACTGCGAGCCAGGCCTAATCGCCCAACATCAGTGCCCGACCTCACTAATGCTCTTGTGGCTGAATGGAAGCATGTCCCCACAGCAATGTTCCAACACACACTAATGTGGGAATACTGCCTTTAAATTTCATCCACGCTGTAAGACTGACATACCGCGATACACATTGAATAGAGCCCTAAAATAGTATATACATAAATAAGCAAAAGGCAAAAAGTGTTACATTTAGCCCCGGTCTCCCCTAGCCCAAACATAACCTTACAACAATGTTTTTTCCCCCATTGCTAAACATAAATAAGTACATTTAGTTATCAAACCCTAATCTCCAAATGAATATATCACACAAAATATTACTATTATTATTTTATTTTTTAATAGTCACATTAGGCTAAATTATTTCAATTGGGTATTTTAGTAGCTTACAAGATTATAGCAAATCCTAGCCTTTAACACTTTAAAATAACATTCATGAATACGCCATTATGAATGCTTAGAAATGTTTATACATGTTCTAGCCCGGCCGATGCCAATTGTGCCACCACCCTATGAGACTCCCAATTACAGCCAGATTGTGATACAGCCTGGGAAAATGTGTACAATAAGTTAGTGTATACTATAGGTTTATGTAGCAGTCTTAATTTCTGCCACATATGCTGAACTCTTTGGTGCAGAAAACGCCAATTCTGTTGCAAAACGTTTTGCAACAGAAACCTTTTACTCCAAATGGAAAACGTTTTGCAACAAAAACTAGCGTTTCTATGGACAAATTCAGGTAGGTCCCTCTCCGTTAGGTTATGTTTGCTTCCGTTTATTTCTTGAACAGTAAACAGTTTCCGTTGGAAGACATAGTGAATACACCCCATGGCCACGTTCAGTAGCCAAATGTTGAACGTTACAGATATGCAATAATATAATAATAATGTCGATGTTTTGCAACAGAAAACGTTTACTCCAAACAGTAAACGTTTTGCATCGAACACGAGCGTTTCTACTGGACAAATTCAGGTAGTTCCTGCCCCATTTCGTTCCGTTTGCTTCCGTTTGGTTCTTAAACGGTTTCCATTGCAAGACGTAATGAATCCACCCATGGGCCCAGTTTTCCCCTGTCTGATCGCATGGTCAGGAATAAACTCCCACCCAGTCCTTCACTTTACATGGCTTCATTGAGACAGTTTTGTACCACTAGAGGGTGCTAAAATATCAGTTAATAAGAGCTGGAAAAATAGGAAGCCATAGGAATTTTATGGCAATATAAAAAATTACAATCTTATTATATAACCGTAGGCCAAAGAACATTCTGGGTAACATATTGTTTGTTTACACATGTAACATGAATTAATGTGAGATGGTAAAGCTTTAAATATTGAATGTTCAGTGTAAGATTGTAATCCATACAACACAATTTAGTCATTCAGTTTTATTTTCTCATAAATCCAAAAATAATTTGCTTTGTACATGTTTTTAACAAATACATTGATATTTAACCTTTTTAAAAACAGACACAATTACCCCAATACCTTTCATTACTTATTATTTAAATTTGTGTCAATAGAGAAACCAGCACATACACGCAAACCAATCCTACAGACCAGAGGTCATTCATACAGTACTATCGATTTAGTTTGGTTAACTACGCTAGGTACATATACAGTACACCGCCCCCTCATGAGAACAATTGTTCAATATTTTCTCCTACAGTGTCAGATGACCAAACATCTTGAATAAATATAACTGCTGTTAAATTCTAAGAACATTATGCTTCTCCAATGATCCTCCCAAACATGGCTCTATTCAGGTGAAATGGGTCAGCACTATAAAGTTACATTCATTCAAGGTCCACATAAGCAAAGAATCCTTGAAGCAATCTTACCAAAACACTCTAACGCTGTAAAAATGTGCATAGTTAATTATTAGATCAATTATCAGAGATAAAGCTCTTACAGTTTATTTGGACTTGAGGGTATTCTAATTGCTATTCCGTTGAAGGTAAAGTTGTTGAGACAACTCTTATTCCCTTTCATTGTTGCTGCAGTTATAGAAAGTGGCCATTTTCATGATTCACATTCAATACTCTCCAAACACCAAACTTCAACACAGAGGACAGAGGCCAATCAACATATAGGTATTCTAATGATCCCTTGGCTTCAGCATGTCCTCTACATAGTAGTACTATAAAACACATTTTAAAAAGTTGTGCCATTCTTTGTATAAACTGACATGAAACTACAATTTTCACAGGGCATTTGTTTACAGTGGTCCATGAGCAATCACAGTGTGGGACAAACGGATGGCATGGATTGTTTCTGCTGATACAATACAATTACCAAGGCACTATTATGATACCATTATATGCATTCCATCTAAAAGATTAAGGACATTTTCTGGATGTGAAGAGGTATTTGTACACAAGATAAGAATAAGATAGCTAATCATCTTTAAAAAAAAACAGCCACAGTGTTCTAAACAGACAGCATAGTGCACATATAAAAAATAAGCCCTGGAATAAATAGGTCATTAAGCAGATTTCAATAAACGAGTCAAGATGGAGCAGAGAAACACCTTAATTCAAAGCAACAATGTAAGTGTCTCGGTCTGTCTCAGTGTGAAGGAAGAAGACTCCCAGCCAGGCCTCTGGACTCAGGGCCCGTATCCACGAAGCGTCTCAGTGGGAGTGCTGATGTAGGATCAGTTTTGCCTTTCAGTTCATAATTAATGAGATTGTATGGACAGATCCTAGATCAGCACTCCCACTCTGAGATGGTATGTGTGAGTTCAGGGCCTATATCCACAAAGCATATGTTATAAAGGCACTGCTCTCCAGAAATACTATTATTGTTAGTCCATCTGATCCAGCAATAGTGTTGTTTTACTCAACATTGAAAAACAATGCTTGTAGTCCTGCTAGGCCCGAGGGCGCTGTCAGAACTCAGGCATCTTATCATCATACTGTGGTGGCGGCGTGATGGGTTCAATGGTCACCTTCACATCAGTAGGGTTGCAGACTTTAAAACGGAAGTCCTTCAGATGGAGTTTCTCTGACTTGATTCTGCGTACCCTTAGTGGCCGTAGTAGCCGGCTGGTCCGACTGCTGCTGCGTGTGGGGGGGTTGGCTGAAGCGGCGGGGGCGGGCTGGGGCGCCAGGGCCGGAGTGGTGGGAAGAACATCCTCTGAAATGACTGCTCTTGGGCCCTCCCCCTCTTTTTCCACAGCACTGATGAGGTCTTCGTACGAAGGCAGCTGAGAGGTGCTATGGCGTAAGTTGCTCTGACGTATGGGGTACTGGCCACTGGTGACCACCTCCTCATAGCTGGGCACGTCGTAGGCTGGTGCTGGCTCCTCTGCACTGCAAAACAATGTACAGGGACGGCGGTAAAAAAAAAGAGCAACATTTCAGCTATCATTTATATTTCTTCATGGTTTTTTTAAGGATACTAGAAACGCCTAAAATAGCTAAGTACTGCTTCTTAACTGATCATAATCCCCAAAACATCCATTGCCAGGACAATAAGAGCTTTTGTAATTATATGTTTCTGCCATTGTTGTCAACCTCACAAAGGAGAGCCACTTGTAATGCAGGAAGTTGTACACACAACTGGCCACACCAGCCAATAGTGGTAAAAAGCTTTGCAGTGTTGCACAGCGTAATATATATATTTTTTCTCTCATGGATTTTTATTCCTTAATTACTACTGGTATTGACATTTGGTGCTAGTTTTGTGTACAAAACATTAAGGACACCTGCTCTTTCCATGACAGACTGACCAGGTGAATCCTGGTGAAAGCTATGATCCCTTATTGATGTCACTTGTTAAATCCACTTCAAATCAGTGTAGATGAAGGTGAGGAGACAGGTTAAAGAAGGATTTTAAAGCCTTGAGACAATTGAGACATGGATTGTGTATGTGCGCCATTTGGAGGGTGAGTGGGCAAGACAACTCAATATTAAGGTGTTCTTAATGTTTTGTACACTCAGTGTAGATTAACTGGTGCTTTAACAACTGTCAATCAATGTTCCAGGCATCATCCTAGAAACTAAGTCATATGGGTTAATAGTGAAAACGAAGCCTCTTTGAACACCTTCTTGGATGATTAAAATCAGTCACTGTTACATTTACATTTAAGTCATTTAGAAGACGCTCTTATCCAGAGCGACTTACAGTTAGTTAGTGCATACATTATTTTTTCATACTGCCCCCCCGTGGGAATCGAACCCACAACCCTGGCTCTACCAACTGAGCTACATCCCTGCCGGCCATTCCCTCCCCTACCCTGGACGACGCTGGGCCAATTGTGCGCCGCCCCATGGGTCTCCTGGTCGCAGCCGGCTACGACAGGATTCGAACCAGGATCTCTAGTGGCACAGCTAGCACTGCGATGCAGTGCCTTAGACCACTGCGCCACTCGGGAGACAGTGATTATCTAATCGATTGAAGCACTCACGTCTCTCCTGCCTCCCCAGCCAACATGGTCCACAAAGGGGACACCTACGGCCCGTGTCTCCTGTCCTCTCTGGCACCCCCTCCGCTTGTTCCTCACCGCCAGGTAGATGGACAGCAGCAGCATGGCCAGCCCCGCCCCCACCAGCACATAGGCTATTGATGAGGTCTTCGCTGTTTCCCTGTCCTTCTCGTCATACCCAGCATGGTCCACTGGCACAGTGACACTGAAGTTGCCCAGAGCCTTGGTTGTCTGGGAAGCATCGCTGGGCACCACAGTCCACACGATCATGACGATGCCCAGGGCTATGAGCCCCACCCCCAGGGCACACAGGGCATACGAGGAGCCTGACCGGCTGCCCCCATGGCCAGAGCTGTCTGGACCACCACTGGAACACATCCTCCACCTGGACCCACCAGAAGTGCCACACCACCAGACTGGGGAGAGGAGACTCAAGGGAAGAACCGTAGACCTAACCTGCAATGTGTGAGAGAGTAAAGTTGTTTTCACATTAAGGAGCAGGAATGTAACAACAAAATAAAAACTGGCAAAGGCCCAGACTAGCTGAAATCAGATGACAATGAACAACTTCCTGGAATAGACACAATGTGGCTGGGAAGGGGGCCAAAGCCAGAGAAGTTCATGGAGGGTTACATTAAGCTGTGTTTTAGTTCTTCACGAACATATTTTACATGATAAAGTGCAGCTGGAATAGTTCCAATCAAAGAGAGCTGAATTAATCATGTGAATGAGCCATTCATTGACCAAAAAGCACCAGGAAATAATGTAGGTCTATACTATTGTAGTGAAGTTCTAGGAAATCTTCCTCAAGACTATAAAGTCCAAATTAAAGGCTAGCCCTGTGGTTTGAAATCCGTTAAAATGTATTGTTGGAGGTAGTGTGCATGGCAACATAATATATACCATGGTAATGTATCACAGTCTTTAAATACTTCACTTTGTGAATGTGTTGGTATTTCCAGTGACAATATATTACCCCAAAAATGTCCTGTACGTCCCTTTTGTGGGTCTAGCCCTCCTAAAACATGCTAAACCAACACTACACGTTGCTCAGGCTGTGTTCAGGTTGTATTACTATATTATAACCAACAGAAGATTGTAAACTGCTGGCACTTCCACTTGTTTCTTTTCAGTTTACAACTAGAACATTTCACAGTGTAATTTACAGGAAGAGCATTTCACAATGTAAATGGAAGATATGGGCAAAATGACTGTCTCATAATGATACCTCCATATTATGCTATGAGTCACTTAACGTGGATTCAGCAAACACTGACAGTACTTACTCCTTTTAGCTCCTAGTGCAGCAAAGGGCCCCTAAACAACAACACAGAAATCTGACACTGATGAATCTCTAAAAGGCCAACCATACCATGAAAACAACTTGTTTAGGGAGTCTGAATGTAATACCACTTTGGCCTAAGAGTGTAGCCTACAGCCTATGAAGAGTGTGCATGACTTTCGTATGAAACATATTCCTGATATGGAATGTTTTGTGATAACAGTGTATTCAACATTATAATATATACCCTATACATTATTGACGTGAACGTTATGGTACAGTGACAATATCAGAAGCATGAATGCATGAAAAAGCCTCCTATAGCAACAACGGTTAGGCCTTGGTGTGCTTTCAAGTTGACAAGCAAACACATTACTCAAGTCAGGTGTTCTACAACAAATACAGACGTTGCAAAAAGAGCAGTCGTAGTGCAAGATTCTGTACAACAGACTCAATGACAATCTTCTATTATACAAAGCCAGAAACCCCTGGTTCAAGGCACTTAAACAGTAAGTTGGCATGTCCTGCAAATCAAATTAAATTTCACGTACAGTTTACAACAGGTATAAAAGGTGCAGTGAAATGCTTTCGTGCTAGCTCCCTCAACATTGCAGTACAATGTCAATAATAATCAAGTCAAAATTAAAACAAATAAAAAGTAATTACAGGAAGGTAGTATGCATAGTAATACAACTGATATGTACACAATGTTCTTTCCATGACAGACTGACCAGGTGAAAGCTATGATCCCTTATTGATGTCACTTGTTAAATCCACTTCAAAATCAGTGCAGATGAAGGGGAGAAGACAGGTTAAATAAGGATTTTTAAGCCTTGAGACAATTGAGACATGGATTGTGTATGTGTGCCATTCAGAGGGTGAATGGGCAAGACAAAATATTTAAGTACCTTTGAACGGGGTATGGTAGTAGGTGCCAGGTGTATGGCTGTGGCGGTCATGAAATTGTCAGCCGGTGATTGTCAAGTAAATAACTTCCAGTCTCACGGTAATTGACTGTTAATTAACAAATACATTTAGCATCTCCTGGCTTCTACGCATAGCCTACAAGCCACTGATGTAGACCTTTGGAACTTCTACATTTTAAAAAGTCTAATAAATCCATGTAATATAGCCTACACCATCACAATAAATCCATTATTTATTTTAGACAGGTCTAAAGAAACATGATATGAAGAAAATGTAGTCAATTTCAGAAGAACAGAATAGCATACTCTGAGTTGTCCTTATGTTAGGTCCTGATCTGGCTATGCCATATGGCTGTGAGCTACACTAGTTCATTTATCAGACAAGATTTGCTTAGAATTCCGTGGCATTATCTTATAGAAGAATACAATTGAACATAGCTGAATAAAATAGAAAGGCTATTTTCTCCAAACTGAAGGAGTACGCACATGCGGCTATTCTGTGTTGAGCGGTAACAAAGAAACAGGTACTCCTACAGTATATGCTTAATTTAGAGTTATTTATGTAACTTTAGTTGTGATAGAAATGCTGGGCTATATGTTTTGATTTTAATACATTCTAAGGCTGCATGTGACTAATGATGATTTGAAAAAAGTCTCATGAAAGGCATGAGCTCTGCTTTGTTTTTTGTACAGGCTGTACACCACTTCATCAGTCTCTCATTCACAATTTGACAAGCACTTGATAATGCCTCAAATTTCCCGGCTGCATCCCCTTTGTGTGGCCGTAATGCCCCCTAAAAATATCCATAAAATATCCTAAAAATATCCAAAATATCCAGTGGCCGTTGTGCCCTTGGGCTGAATATAATAATTATAATTTCCATCTCCCTGCTGCGTGCCGAAGCACCTCTCACTCACATAGCTCTCAGTCATGTGATAGGGTCTTTCTCACAGGCTACAAGTGAAGACAGACGTCGGGGACGCAACTGTGCGCCTTAGCCAATTCCGAGGCGCATATGGAAGATATTGGAAGAACTGTCCACATTTACTTTTCATCAGCCAACAAGATGAGTAGGCCTAACGAACAGCAAAAACACTAGCCTACAGTATGTCAATCTACTATCCCCCATAGTACAAAAGTTGACCTATTCTATGCGAGATAATAATAACAATAAATATTCTAAACATAGTCTGGGACAGTTGTGGGATGCGATAGATCCCAAATTAATACAACCATTAGCATAAAAAAACCTGTTTTAAGCAATGATCCTGACGCAACAGATGAGAACGTTTAGCTTAAAATGTTGATAAACTATTAGGCTATTTCTTCACATTTTAAGCTCAGCAATGCGCACACGGCAGTAGGCTATAAGCGCAAATGTTCCATTAGCAGGAAAACACCATTCTCAAAAGTGACCACAAATGCGATTATGCATGTAATGCTTTTATCATAAAGGTGCATTTTTATGGTGAAAATTATTTTCCCTAAACTTGAAACTCACGCACGTATGCCAGTTAGGCTCTACACCCATTGTAAAGTGGATTAATGTGCTTCATTTTAAGAAGTTATTTGGCCACTTTAGTTGTGATACAAACCTTATCAAAACATATAGGCCTATGGGCTAAGCTACATGAGGTGTGCGACTATGATTTGAAAAAGGCGCAAAACAACGTATGCACCGTTTCTTGCCTTAAGCTGGGCATCATTCACACGTGATAGGCTAATATTGTCACCATCACACTATTCTTGATTTAATCTTGTCTTTACATATACTAAATATGTGTGAAACTTATTTTGATTGAGAATGGATAATTGACTCCCGAGTGGCGCAGTGGTCTAAGGCACTGCATCGCAGTGCTAGCTGTGCCACTAGAGATCCTGGTTAGAGTCCAGGCTCTGTCGCAGCCGGCCGCAACCGGGAGACCAATGGGTGGCGCACAATTGGTCCAGCGTCGTCCAAGGTAGGGGAGGGTTTGGCCGGCAGGGATGTGGGTTCGTTTCCCACGGGGGTCCAGTATGAAAAAAATAAAAATAAAAAAACATATGCATTCACTAACTGTAAGTCGCTCTGGATAAGAGCGTCTGCTAAATGACTAAAATGTAAATGAAAAATAATCATGCACCGGTCTCGAAACAGGGGCAGCGGACAAAAATACGTAATCTATGCACTTAAATAGTGAATGGAGGACACTTTTCCTGTGGTTCATTTTCATGCCAGCTAGGTAGGCTATACTCCGGTTGTAAAGAGAAACAATGTGTTTAATATTATGAAAGTTGAGAAATAAATATAGTAGGCCTACCCTATTGAAAGCTGATGGGATCCTCTTTTTAATAGAGGCCATCACTCTGTTTTCTCACGCAATTGCATAGCCTGTAGAAATGTTGCGCAACATGAGCTCATGAAGTGTTTGATTAGACTTTTGATTACATTTGCATTGATATCAGAGTGAATTTGTAAGTCACTCTGGATAAGAGCGTCTGCATGGCTTAAAGAGCGTCTAAATGGCTTAAATAAGAGCGTCTAAATGGCTTAAATGTAAATTATAAGAGGGAAAATAGAGTGCCGAGTACCAGGCAGTTAGCAAGTTTGGTAGGCTGCTAATGACCATCAGCAGCATCAGAGCTTGGAGAAGCCTAATTACTGTGACTAAACTGTTACGTGGAATTTGACTCGTGACTGCCGGTGTGGCAGTAATACGGTCACCGTAACAGCCCTAGCCAGGTGAACCGGGTTGTGTCAAGAACTGCAACACTGCTGGGTTTTTCATGCTCAACAGTTTCCTGTGTGTATCAAGAACAGTCCACCACACAGATTATATCCAGCCAACTTGACAACTGTGGGAAGCATTGGAGTCAACATGGGCCAGCATCCCTGTGGAACGCTTTCGACACCTTGTAGAGTCCATGCCCCGACATATTGAGGCTGTTCTGAGGGGAAAATATGTTTAGTATACTCAGTGTACACCCATGCTTAGAGCACAACCTCCCTCTACCTTGATACAAATGTAATGTCACAACACTGACTATAATAAGATATCACAACACTGAATGTAATGTCACAATTAAGTGATAATGCCCAAGAAGCCGGTGTTTGGAGGATACAGTTGAAGTCGGAAGTTTACATACACCTTAGCCAAATACATTTAAACTCCTAGTAAAAGTTCCCTGT